GAATCGTCAATTGACAAGGAACTATCACAGATCAAAAACGACATTGTCAATGGCCATATGTACGACCCAGAAATATCCACACACAACGGCATTCTGTTTAGAGGACACCGCGTAATCGTCCCAAAAAGTTTACAGCCAGCAGTACTACAAGAGCTACACTCTACACACATAGGAATCGTTCGAATGAAGGCCCTAGCCCGAAACTACTGTTACTGGCGTAATATCGACTCTGATATTGAGAATACGGTTAAAAGTTGCAAAGAATGCTGTGACATTAAGAAAAACCCAACAAAAGCTCCAATACACAAATGGGAAACACCTACAAGAAACTGGCAACGCATACACATCGATTACGCAGGACCATTTATAAATCATTATTTCTTCATTGTCGTTGATGCCAAATCGAAGTGGCCGGAAATATTCTATACAAAGAAAGCACCAGACACATCAATCACAATTCATTTCCTACGTGAAGTCTTTGCTCGATTTGGTCTACCTGAGATCTTAGTAAGTGATAATGCAAGCATTTTTAAGTCACAAGAATTTCAAGAGTTTTGTTCGAGAAACGGAATCCGTCAAAGTCTAATAGCACCGGGACACCCAGCCACAAATGGCCAGGCTGAAAGATACTGCCACACCTTAAAAACACACCTCAAATGTATGAAGCATGAAACTGGTACCTTACATCAGAAGCTTCATGAACTATTATTCCGATATAGAGCGACTCCCTTATCTAACGGGAAAAGTCCAGCAGAAAATCTATTAGGACATACAATAAGAACAAAATTAGATTTGCTCAAACCCCAGGCACAAGCTTCCGAAAGGAACATAACTGAACAACCGAAATTCTACAAATTTTATCGTGTGGGAGATCGTGTACAATCCCGAAATTACACAACTTCCGGTCCTTGGAAATATGGTATCGTAGCTGAACGACTAGGTCATGTACACTACTTAATTGAACTCGACGATGGATACGTAATAAAAAGGCATTACGATCAACTACGTCTGTGTGAAATTAACAAACAGACAACTCCCGTCCAGATAGGATTCGACTTCAACAAAAAGAAAATTGACAAGTGCAATGACACAGTAAACAATAGGGACTCATCCTAAGCTAGCGCTAGTACACAGCCTAGCACAATTAGCTACGACGAAGGAACTGTAACGACATTACACAACAAAAAGGAGACAATGACAAAAACAACTTCCGACCAGCCCCCAGAGAAAGAGGGAGAATGTAACCGAATGATAACAAATGGAAATGAGTCGAAACCTCGAAGATCAACATGAATACGGAAACCAGTACAATGCTTAAATCTCTAAACGAACAAATTTAAATAACATTTTATTAAGTGTGGGAGAATTGTTATGTATGTAAACCGCCAGGGGATGACCGCTACCAGAAATTGCCCCTTGACCTACTTAGGTCACCCCACACCTCCGACCTCGTGTGTGTTCTTTGTCTCAACAAGTTGTCTTTAGTTGTTTGTAACCCCTAGACCACGACGATACGTTGTTCACTCATAGTTACGTTTATGTTAATAAAGCTAGTTATAAATGTTTACGAGTTACCGTTATTTTCACGAACATAACAAGTTCCATCAACACAACCAAGTACTACGTGGTGAGAAAAGTTTTCCAGGAAAGAAAACAATTTTCTAATTACTTTCTGTGCATTGGTATTATCTGCCCCGTTGAATGAGTGTAGACTGCAATTTACAAAGTTAGTGACTTCTATGGGCATAAACGATACCAAGTCTATCTGCAACTCCATGAAAAAATTCTTAATTACTTAAAATCCAAAGAGAAAGGAGGACTGTTGTTTCTCTACTTCTGCTTAACAATAATGGGCACCCTCAATTACATGGAAGTATTTCCATTAAATGATGAGAAAAATTGGATTCTGTTCGTACACTTTGTATACTGTGTTAACCTCTGTTATGACCAAATGTAATATATAAAAACATTAGTTTTCTAATTCATAATCTCTTATTTACCTAAAAAGTTGAATTAAAAAGTCAAAAATGAGATAAAAAGTCAAAAATGAGATTTAAAGTCATTAAAATATTACAAAACAATGTTCTCAACATAACCAACAATTTTGGCTTTTTTAATTTGTGTATTTGTAATATTACTGTAGTTTGTATTGTATATTTAATGATTTTGTTGTATGTATTCCTGCATCATGGGTTTTCCCAGTATGTCTAAATAAATAAATAATTTGTGTATTTCATTTCCTTGGCTTCATCATAGCAACAGTAGCATCTAATAGAAATATTTCATCATCATCTTTACTATTAAGCTGTATTAATCTAATGTTATTTTGACAAAAGTCCACAAATGACAATATAGCACTGTTTGCTTCTGTCATCTTGTCAGGTTGCCAGACGTTCCAGTAAAAGCTTGTTAAACCAGTGACTGATGCATTGGTTGTGGCTGAGACCGATGCATACAGGAATGTACCCATTAATTTTACAATTAAAATAACAAATAAACAATATTATTCTTCTTAAATATATTAATTTAGATATTATTAAACCATGCACTTTTTGTAATGTTATTCCTGATGTGTTAGAATGGTAACACATTTTTTAATATCTTGTAGAGTTCTAAAGTCTTTCTGTACAGATATTTAACAGTAATGGATGTATTCTAAACTATTTAGATTTTCCAGATATTACTTATGTGAGAGTTTGTGAAGTTTATTTCTTTGTGAAAGTTTTTAAACAGCTAAACTTATTTCTACATACTCTAAGTTCCCCTTGTAAAATGTGAGTACAATAAAATGTCTTATTATTATTTCACTATTTCTCTGATAGATGGCATTATCACAAATATTGTCCTGCAATTTCTGGTAGGGAATCGTAATTTATTTCAGGAATCCAAGTGTCCATGGAAACTGTTTTTGGAAGTTTTTATTTCAAAACAAATAATCAGAATTGTTTTATTTATTATTATTAATTAAATAAATTAGTTAAAAATAAAATTATTAATAATTTCAATTACTCATTTTTTTAGCATGCTCTAAAATAGTAGTGTGTGCTTATGTTGGGACTTGTGTCTGTCACACATTATATATTCAAGACAGCAAATATATTTATTAGTTTTGACAGGAGATCATTTGAAAATCAAGTAAATACATGCAGATTATTTTCAAACTGTTCTTTGTCATCAAAGATTTTCAAATTGTTTGAATCTTTGGGTCTTCCTTAACCTCATTCTCTTAAGGCTCATAATCGGGTAAACAACTGCTTGATTCCAAAAATTTATAAAATTTATTTTAAACGAAATTAATATTTCATTCACTTTTGTGGAGTGTGCTATTGACCAATCTTGTTTGTTTATAATTTATATTTTTTGAAAGAAATGTCAGAGCTAATTTTTTTGCATATAATTAAATTTTATGATAAAATATATCAAATATCAATGATAAAAAAAAAATTACCATTTTTTGGATAATCATCCTGAATAAAATTAGACTGAGAAGGGGTTAACTTCAAAGTTTGGATGTATAGACTTAATAGCTTGCTTGATGGATTCAGGTAAATTTGTCACCATCAAGGAAAATGCTATAATGGTTTAACTTCTTTTACTATAATTGTTGGAAGCACTATTTTAAAACATTACAGTATTTTAGAATCATTTGGTACTTTAGAAAATATATTACAGGAAACAGATAAAATGTATGTCAGGGAATACGCTGAATAACTGAATTTAATGAACTTATAGATATGGTTCCGAAAAACATTTAGACTAAAAATTCTTTCATTTACTGTATCATTTTAGGGAGTCAAAGGTGTTCAGGTGTTGCAAATAAACACTTAAAAGTATGTTTATCATGTAAATATGTAAGAAAAACTCTACAGGATAAATATCAAAAACCAAGAAGAAAAAAACAAATCAGTCAAAACAACAGAAAAATTCAAAGCATCTAAAAGAATAAAAACATTAATTAAAAAAACAAAATCAATCAGCATCATTTACTTCACTTAGCAGTAAGCTTGAATATCTACCTTTAAAGTATTAAGGAATGCCTGAGGTCTTCTGAACAAAAAAAGTACTAAAAGGAATGATGTATGATGAACAGTGGCTGCTAGAATGCATCATTATGAGAATGAACAGTCCATGTTTATACAAACACATGCACAAACAAAATACTAGTTTCACCAAGCAAAACCTGTATTAAAAAATTTTTTAAAATTTCAAAGCTGGCTTTAGATTTAATGAAAAGTATTTACTGCTCTTAAATAAATTACAATATTTAGATTCCTATA